ATCCTTGATGTAAACCTGTTGAGGAATGTATTAAACATATGCAAAAGACCCTTTTCCATTGAGAGTTGGAAAAAAGTGTCCAACTTGAAAAGTGAGAAAGTAATGCAAGTGCTTAAATGCCAGTGAAATTAGCCTTCCATTAAGTTTTACACAGTGCAAAAGATAATGTATTTCCCATCAAAATAATCGCAGAATGGAAAGTGAAGATTTAAAAAAATACCCTGTAAACCGCAGTGCTAAAGAATAAAACAAATGATCCTTCCCAACCATATTATACCAGAAGATGGTATACATGAGAATCCAATATGAATCAGTGTTTTTGTACACAAGACCTTGCGCTCATGTGGATAATAAGTTAATATGTAGGCAATTTTTATGATAAAATTAACTAGGTTACAAAAAAACCTTACACAAAATCCTTAGGATTTAATACTACCTTAAGATAAAATACTTCTAATATTAAAACTATTGAATTGATTCATATTTAAAGAATCATGCTCAGTAACATTTGCCAATAAATAAATGCCAATTTAAAGGCAACATTAAAATAATAGCCTTACATTATCCTAACGATTTATTCCTCTAAAAATCTAATGGACTTTCTTCAGTCCATCCAGTGCTTTTCCCCTGAACATCTTTTTTTTCCTAATCCCGCAGTGCTGCTAGAAAAATCAAAATAGCTAAAAAGAAAAAAAAGTTACACCTAGAGGACCAAAGCCACAAATCCTAACAGTGAGTATGTGAAGCCAGAAGCATATCCTTGGGGTAGAAACATACATAGAATTTACGCAATGCTAATGGGGAGGACAATACAACATCTACAAGAGTATGGTGCAGCGCAAATCTACAACATATCCAGAAAAGTCAAACTATGGATAACAGCAACATCTACAGCTACTTCTGCTAATTCTAGGAAGTGCCCTCAGTATCTTCTTGGAAGGGGAAAAACTTTTTAAATGGACAAGACTGAAGATACTACATTGTTTAAACATTCAAAAAATTCAGGGCCAAATAAAATGTTCTTATTTATTCCTCAAAGTAATCAGAATTTGTTGCTATAATGTACCTGAAGTAATAAGTGTAGAAATATACAGGCATGCTGAGAATACCTACAGTTTTGTAAAAGTTTTGCAGATTAAATATTTGCAATGGAATCAAATTATGAAAGGAATTACATGCCAAATGAAATTCTGGTAGTTTACTTACTAAAAGGACTTTAAGCAGAGCTCTGAAAAGTAAAAGTGAGTTTTCAGATCCAATCCCAAATGGGAATTAAACCTATTAGCCTGAAGATTTATTTCTGTCCGAGAATTTGTAGATTTGACTAAGATATTTATAAATATCTTAATCTTTTGTCCAGTTACATGGGGGGAGAGGGAGGGCAAATCAATCATTCTTAGCCCACATGAGCCTGCTAAGTTGAAAAATTATGTCTATAAATTATAAAACATTTTGTAGCAATTCCTATCATTATGAAAATTCTGCCCTGCTCTATTTTTAGTATTTTACCCAGTTCATCAAATAAATTTATTGGTTTCTTTTCATTATACAAAATGTGACATCCAGACTGCCGGCATTGTAAAAAAAAAATGTTAATGACCAACTCTATTTGTGTGTTGAACAATAACAAATAAAATAACCCCAATCTCCCAGTCTTGGAAAACAATCTCTTTAGATTGACCTCTCTGTGCTTATACAAGAAAAAAAGAATCCTCCCAGAAACCCAAACCTTGGCCTGACATGAGAATGTGAAGATCTAGTGTAATGTATAAGTATTTAATCTTTAAGGACAGAGGCTTCTTAAAAAATTAAGAACATTCGTCTATAATTTCACACATAATATGGCCAGACCAATCTAGTAGCCAAAATGCGATATGATATAGTAAAATGAACTTAGAAGTGCCACAAGATCAAAACAAGATAACTGGGAAAAAAAGAAAGAAAATATTTGGCTCCACATAATCACCTATAGTATTTACCTATTAAAATAGCATTACTAAATTTAAGATTCTCTGAAACTTGAACAAATAATACACAGATCAGGATATATGTATTGACTTACTATCATCTTTATAAAAATTTGAAGAGATACACAAAAACACATCAACATTTATGGAACTATGTCCATTAAACTTAGATATGACAACACAAAAAAAACTAACAAGTAGCTAAGATGTGGTTGAATTGTAAGTTCTCTAAACAACATCTTTTAATTTTAAAAGTTCCGTATTTACATTTTATATTAAATGCAATTTTTGCATTCTGCATCTTATTTTAAATGCATGATAAAGAAAGAACAAGATAATGGTTGCAACAGATCTTCGAAGAAAATTAACTTAAAATGGTCAGATTTCACAAAGTGCTGCAAGAGAACATGGGAATAACTTGGTCTTCTAATTTTACCTCTATTTCCTTTGCTTTTGTGGGAGGAGTCACAACAAATGGAACCAAACTGTGATGTGAACATTCAAATTGGCCACTGACAGCAAATCCAGTTTTAAATTAGGAGTTTACTACTGACGATGTCTTTTAGTGAAATATTTTAACGCATGCCTAAACATAATGGTTATTTTTACTACTGTACTTTTTTGAAGATCATCCTGTTAAAAAGATAGGTAATATACAGGATGCATGTATGTACGTAATTGTATCCATATAAACATACATACAGAATACACTCACAGCCAGCATATGATACTCAGCTACTGTGATAAGCAGCTACAGTCACTATCAAATATGTCTGCACTCTACCAATGCACAAGCAATAATCTAAAGTAACTATCTATAAAGAGGGATATATACAATTATTAAACAATGCTTATATCGCTCCAATCTATTTGGTAAGTTTGAGACATTGTTCATGTCTTTGTTTTCAAAGCCACACAATGGTAAGATGGGAAAAAAGTTTAAAAACCCTGTCTAAAAATTCTTAAGCCTTTAGTTACAAAGTGTTGCTCTCCAAGGGACTGATTCAAAACCCATTGAAGTCAGTATGAGACTTTCCATTGACTTCTTTAGGCTTTGGACAGGGCCCCTATTCAAAAAAAGCTCATATCCAATAACATCTACTTTTAAAACAGCTGCTGACGTGCCCTCTGCTGGACTGTCTATTGAGCTACTTGTAGTCACGTCCAGCCCATACATGCTTCCATAGGTAGACATTCAGATCCATTCATTTTCTGGATATTTGCCCAACCTTCCTTTCACGGGGATGTTCCTTAACAGTGGGGTACATTGCCACATTTAATGGCCCATCTGAGATGTAAGCATTCCTTTTTAACAATAAAACCACAATATCTGTGGGGCTTAGTGCTCTTCCCTCACATCCATGAGTACTAGTGACAGTCAGGCACCATGGAAGTCAGGTGTCATACTAGCCTTCACATACAACCCCACCAATGCATTTCTACCTTTGAAACATCTGCTGCTCCCTGTCTTGGATATTTTCTGAGCTGAGATCAATTGTGCTGAACTGTGCCAAATGTTATGATTTAGAGATACATATACTCATTTTAATATGTGAATATTCTAATCCTCTCACTGTGATATGCTAAAATACACACTTTGCTAAGATGCCAATGGCTTTAGAAACCACTATTCCTTAAACATTTTTGTTTTCCCATTGTAATAATGTTAATATACCACATTATTCTCACATTATTTCAGTGCAAAAGAAAGCAGTTTTAACTAGGAGACGTTAGGCAGTATTTATTGCTCAATCATTACTTTTTAGTAACTTCTACGTAATTGGAAGTCAGTACAAAAAACTCTGCTATGAGAAAGCCAATTAGAAAGCCTACATGAACTCTGTCACTACTAAATCTTACATACAAGCTAATGTTAACAGCAAGTAATTTGCTTCAAAGTGTTATTCTTCCATGTTCTGGCACTTGTTTAGACCCCATTCATAAGCTCCTACAGATTATGTTAGTGTTTTTTCTGTTTCTGTTACTTGAGAATTCTCAAAACCTATGAAGTTTCCATAAGATGCCCACTTCAAAAAGTAGGTCAGTACTCAAAAATATATCCTAAAAATAAAGACTGAAAAAAAAAACCCCCGCCAAATAAAAACTAAGAAAATGCTTAATAAAAACCTGCAATCGGATATCAACAATTGCATTTTGCTAAATTTGTCCAAAATTAACTCAAAACTTGTTCCTTTGGAAATACCATCCAGATGGTTCTAACCCAAAGGAAGTACAATGGATTTTGCCCACTATAAAATGCAATCTTCTTTAATATTTGCACATAATTTTTGGAACTGCCAATTTCACCAGCAGTGCAACAACATCCTCATAATCCCCTCTTCGTGAGGAACACCATGTCACCATTCTAACATCCTTGCAATAATGTTCTTTTTAAATGGATTAGCATTAGTCACAAAATAAATCTTAAAGAAAAGTACTAATAAACGAAGATTAAGAGGAAGCATACTCCACTATAGTGGCACAAAGACACACTATTAGGAGTGTACCATTTTCTGTGTGTCACCCTATTTTTAAAATGAGCTTCACTTTTTCCTTGTATCTTGCAATCCCATTTAAAAAACCATCTAAACTGTAATAAATTACTACTTGGCATAAACTACCCCATTATGCTACTCAAGAGCCTTCATTTTAAACTATGGAGGGAAATGCATCAATGCTATTTCTATAAAATGTTTCATTTCACAAAGGGAGAGGGAAGTGAGTAAAGAGAGAATGTGTGTCAGACTAGAAGATGCAAAAACCAATTGAAAATATTTACAGAAACAGTAACTACAGCTTTCTAGAGTCACCTCCAAAGACTTTCAGATTATCATCACTCAAGCAGACCATGTCTTAATCTATATATACACCTTCCATCTTTTCAGAGGAACAACATACATACATACTTGTTTTGCTTAAAGTGGTGAGTTCTCAATTAAATACCCTGCATTGAAGATAAGAGCAACCATTATCAAATATTCTTTGCTATGAAGAAACTTTTTAAATTTTTCAGTGTACGTTCTTTTTTTTCAATTCAAGTCACTGCGATCACACAGTACGATCTTCAAGAATAATGTCTACATGCATTGTAAGCATTTTGAAAAAAATCTGTAGTTCCATGGGGTTACAACCGAATGGGAAGAAAGCAAACACAAAACTCCACTTTGCTAGATCCTCTTTAAAGTTCAGCTTATCTTGAGGAAATCCTGTTACTTTCTGTAATTCTACAGAGAAGTTAAAGAAAGACTGTACGCTGAAAAGACTTCAGATCCTGATGATTTTGCCTGTGTGTCTTTTCCCCGTGTAGCTCCACAGTATGCTGATATGAGCATTTTCAGCTATGCTCACTCAACTATCAATGCCACGTTAATATGGGACAGATCTATCATATGCCTGTAAAATATTGAAGGAACAGTTAGTTTACATATATTCTGCATTTGGTACGCATGCTTATACTACTGTGTGTGTATGTTGCTTTCATAGGAGACTGATTTAATCTTTTAAAGAGGGCAGAGAATCCCAAGAATAAAGCAATGGCTAAATATTTACCTGTGGAATTTCTGTTGAAATGCTAATGCATGTGCTGGTTCCTTAAATTTCGCTATGGCTTTCCGTTGCTGAGGAAGCATCTGTAAACTCTATGGAAAACAAAAACCAGTTATTTCTCATATCTGATCACTTTCTATAAAGAATAGCTCATTGGCTTTGATTCAAATCTGGACATTTTTCTGTGCACAAATGCTTACTGGCCTGTAAAAGGGAATTAGACCATTAATATTATGGGTGAACCTCTGTGAACTGGAACTCTCTGGTCTGGCAACATGTGTGATCTGGAAGTACCACAGATGTTTCAGGATATAAGTGTACTGGTGGAGAGCTGGCAGTTTGCTCCCCACAGCTGGGCTGCCAGGTGTGACGTGGTGTGGCCAGGAGACTGGTACACTGGGAGCTAGGCTACCTGGTTTAGCAGGGAAGGTGTGAGACAAGGAAACCAGCAGTGCAGTGGGGCTGGTGGCCCACGTGGGGTGGGGGAGCTAGCCGAGGGTAGCCAGTAGCAGGGGTGCCTGATATGACCTCTCCCGGACCAGCAAAATCCCTCATCCAGGACTTGTCAGATTCCGAGGGTGCCAGACCAGGGAGGTCCAAACTGTATTTACATAGCTGAGATGTGAACTGGAGCTCTCTGCTGTTCTCTGTGGAGAGCTTTCAGTCTGAAACCAGGTTAGAAACACATTGGAGCTTTCCAAGAGAAAAGGTAAGAGTCCAAACAAACAATTTTACAGGTGGGAAAATTGAGGCAGAGATGCTTAAGTATCTTGTTGAAGTTTAGGGCCTAATCCTTTAATCTGATCCATACTCATGAACCACCACATCTACAAAGCTGCACTAACTTCATCGGGAGAATCCACATGGGCCCGCCTGCTGGGGTCTAGCCATGGGGATCAGATTGAACAGAGACACGCAGTAAGTCAGTGAAAGAACCAGATACAAAATTCAGATCTCTTGATATCAAGCTATATGCTGTAACCACCAGGCCACACTATGACTGGCAGACACATATATAGACTGGCAGATATAATGACAAATTTTAGTAGAAGTACTAAAATACAAAATTACAGTGCTTTGGTAATTTCTATTGGCCATCTGAGACGAAAATAAAAAATTATGAACTAGCATTTACATTATTATAATGGCAAACTTTCACATATAACGCCAGTAGAAGACATCTGAGAAATGTAAAAATATATATTTATACCCAATGGGCATAATAAACTGATTCATGAACACAAATGTGACAAATGTTCAGCATGACTGGAAATTCGTCTGACGACAACCCATGCCACTTTTCCTTCTCCAAAGACCAACACACAACCTATGAAGCTCAGAGTTTTGTTAAAGCTGGGAGAGAGGAGATTTAATAGAAGAGAGTGTATATGACAGAGTGGGCAATAATTTTTGATCAGGGGCAACTTCAGAAATTTTTAAATAGCCCCACGCTGCCCCAGAAGGGGCAGGACTAGGACACTTCCTGCTTCCCCACCCACAGACCCTGCTTGTGCACTTCCCCATTCCCAGACCAAAGTCTATGCCACCCCTCCCCCCCACCCCCGACAGAACCGCCAGCTGTTCTGAATAGCTGGTGGTTCCTTCTAGGTACCTGTGCTCCTGGTGGTGGAAGGAGACTTCATGTGCTCCCCTATGCTAACCCCAGGTCAATCAGGAGGGGGAGCACATGAAGTCTCTTGCTCCCTGCCCCCACAAGGGAACACAGAGTCAACCACCAGCAGCTGGCGGTTGACTAAGTGCTGAGCCTCTTGCAGGGCGGGCGGAGACTTCGCACATGCTCCCCCAGCCCCCAAGCCCTGATTGGCCTGGGAGTGTGTAAAGCTTTCCCCCAACCTGCCTCCGTCCTGCAAGGAGTATGCACGGTTCTAAGCAACGCACACTCCTTTCAGGGCGGGAACAGGGCAGCAGGAGAGCTCATGCATTTCCCCTACCCCCACACCAATCAGGGCTTGGGACCAGGGGGAGCGTGCAGAGTTTCCTCCCACACTGTCAGAAGCACATGGTGCTGCTAAGCAACGTGTACTCCTTGCAAGGCAGGGGCAGGTCAGGAGACTCTGCACACTCCCTGCATCCCCACCCTCCCCTCCTCCCCCAATTGGGCTGGATCAACTCACTTGGTGGGCCCACGGAGGCCCTTTTGCCCACCCCGGTATATGAGTTACCTCTTGAACTTTCACAAGGACTGATAAAGCTGTTGTTAAAAATATTAACCCCATTTTAAGGCCCACCAACAAAAATGTTTCTGGCAATTATTTTTTCAAAATAAGAGCAAGTCTACAATGAAATATAAGCCCAAGGTTCAAACTCAGTCTCAAGCCTCACCCCATCCCCCAACACACAAATTGCACTAATTCAGGGCTTGGATCCCGCATTTGAGGACTCCGTGGGGGCAGAGGGTCCAAGCTGAATCAATCTGGAAGCCAGGGTTCAAGTCTTATTGTTCTGTAACGTAGACACAGCCCCACTAGACACAGACACTGGAAGTCCACAAAAAGAATCCCACAATTCCGAAAGATTTTCTTTGTCCTCGGGGATAATCAAGGTTTCACCATGAAAAGAGCAATAAAGCAGCCCCATTTTTGGGAAGGTACTGGAACATCTCAGATATGCATGTCTGACACAGGAGTGCCAGGCTGGGAGTCATGGTTCAACAATTCCAAACTTGAGTACAAACTAGTGTAGTGCTCAACCCTAGGTTAATAAATGCAAGGTCTGCTAACTGAAGTATTACTAGCCCTGGGCTTATGCCAAAGTACAGACACATCTTCACTTTGAAGTATTCCAACTATAAATGCTTGAATATCATTTTACACAAAACAACTTCAAGACATACATAATCTAAACCAGAATCAACACATGATTTCGCTACTGTAACATGTTTCTGAGACTGTCATTGCATCACATCATCATGTCTAAGGGCAGGTCATAATGGCACTGCAAAAAGTAAGGTGTATTCTTAACACAGGTTAGGTGACATACAGTAGTGAAACTCAGGTTCAAACTGCTAGCGCCACACAGTCGAGTTTTACCCGGACACTCCGGTTTTTGGCTTCTATGTCCAGGAGCCATTTAAGATGCCTAGTTTTGAACCAGAAAGTCCAGGCAAAAAGGGGTCCTGGCTACCCTAAATGGAACCTTAACCAAAAGTTACTGCAGGCAGGAAGAGATGCTGGGTCATAATTCTGTATCAGTCCTTGCAAACTGCTAGCGCCACACAGTCGAGTTTTACCCGGACACTCCGGTTTTTGGCTTCTATGTCCAGGAGCCATTTAAGATGCCTAGTTTTGAACCAGAAAGTCCAGGCAAAAAGGGGTCCTGGCTACCCTAAATGGAACCTTAACCAAAAGTTACTGCAGGCAGGAAGAGATGCTGGGTCATAATTCTGTATCAGTCCTTGTTCAGCCAGCCAGGGTTTCTCCTGCCTACAGGCAGGCTTCCAGTAAGTAACAAGAGTTATGCCTGGGGAGTGG